CCACCGTCTCGCCTACAACTTAAAGCATCAAATCCTAACTGAATTGTTACTTGTATTATATTCAAAAGAAAGAACTCCTTTTGTAAAAAATTGAAACACACAATCGTGTCAGTGCGAAATTTCTGAAAGAGAATCAAGCGCCATCTGTCTCTCACACTGCAGGCAAAATGTTTGATCTTCATTGGCCCCCAATCACCAGGACTGATACATGATGTTTTAATAAGGCTCCATGAATGTCATGTTTACTTTTGCTAATGACTTTTTGTTTCTTAGCCCCATCAAAAGTCTGGCTGTTTGTTTAGTCTTTTAGTTACAGACCACAGTGCAACGTGTGTTTACAAATGAATTGTATTCAATGCAATACAGAAAAAAACATTTAGCTTAAAAGCACTGAACCACAATACTGGAAAAAAAATACATTTTTACCAGTTATACCAGGACTATAGAACCTTTCAATTGACAATGAATATTTGAAGTCTTTAGATTATCAAATGTTGGGTACTCTGGCAACACTATTTAATTTTTTGTGCATATTGTTTATTTCTTTTGTAATTACCAGACTGTTGCAGAAATAAACAAAATGTCATTATTAAGTATACAAAAATAAATAGCCTAGGGGGCACAAACCCGTCCTCAAAAGCTGCCGTCCTCAAACAATGGTACCAGTTGTGTGAATTGAGCTTCCTCTAGTTGTATGTGGGGGGTTGATTTCCCCTAAGATTTGGTGAGTCACCTTTTTAGGTGAGTGCTCTAAGATAACCGTCTCTACTGTGTGTGTTTCTCACCATCATGACCAGAGTTGAGCAGGTGTTCTCCCAGGTCACAGCCGAACACCCTCTCCCGGAGGATGCCCCTTTGCTTTAGTTTCTGCTTGGTAGGCCTGGACTTCATGAAGGAACGCAAGAATGTAATCAGTTTCCCGTGCTTCTTAGACACTGTGGGGTAAAAGGGAGAAACAGGGAGACATTTTACACAAGTTTACTACACTACAGCGAGTAAGGGATCAGCTTTCACTAACTCTATCCATGCATTAGAGTGAAACCGCATACAAGGTGCTCTGCATTGTTCTGTTGTGCTTTTCGGCTTCATTCTAATGCAGCCCCTTCTTTTATGCGTGTCGAGTTTCGCTGAAGCGAAAGCTTAATTCTTAAATACCACCTCCAGGGCAACTACAAAGAATCCAACCACATCCAATATTAGCATCCTCAGCACCTCTTCAAAACAGAAGAAGAAAAAGAAACCAGTCCTACTTAAAAAAAAACTGCATCAACAACAACTTTCCCTGGGAAAGGGTCATAATCTGCTTACACCACACACCCGTTCTTTTCTTGTCAATCATTTGAAAATGGCATCAATAATGTGAGTTTTCTCAGTCAGTTGAATATCAAATCAGTAAACAAAACCCACTGAACAAGTAATTCACAGTCTTGAAGCTACAGTCCGTTAATGGTTTATTGAACACCTTTATCATGTTTGTAGAAAAGCCCAATATCTTTAAGATAAGCAGCAGAAAATACAGCTGCTGGGTTTTTGTAGCACCTGCCGTTACCCACCTGCCTACCTTCACATAGTCTATATGTGCTTTTATAGAATTTGACAGAAATCTGCACAATTCTGAAAGTCTGGCATGCACACTTGCCATACAATAGACAAGCACAAACAGTATGCAAAAGTATTTGCAAAAGTAGTAAAAAGTACCATTCGCTCTCACACTCCTAACTATACAATTAACCGTATCTCAAATTTGCATGTTTTTAGACTGTAATAAAATAAAATGTTTATTTTTACCAGGCATATGTCATTATTTATTTCATGGTTTTAATCTAAATTTGGATATATTGGTTTATGAAAAGAACAAAGGGCTACCACTTTACAACTAAGATGTACAATTTTAACTAAATAAAAAGTGGATTTTCACTCTAAGAAAGAACATAATCACATTTTTAAACTAAATGTCAAAGTATGTTTTTGTTTCTACAAAACTGAATAAAACAAATCAGGCTTTTATAAATACATAGTTAACAAATTGTGAGACTGTTTAGTAATATGCAGCCAAACAAGGGTTTTGGATGAAAATTTTAACCTGAAGCCAGAGGTCTAAACATCAAATTTTCCCAAAGTTCAACATCACTGTTGAGTGAGTGAATTTGACCTCGACCAGAGGTCAAAGTTAAGATCTACCACCAATGTTTGTGTCACATGTCTCCAGTGGACATATTCTCAAACCAGACATGTACTGGACAGGTACAGTTGCTCTTCCATATAAGTACCAGCTCTGATTCTTATACTGACAAATATCAGCACTTACAACTACAATGCAGCTGGACGCTCTAACAAACATAGACTACAAAGACTACACCTAAAAACTACATCTTCCAATTCACACACTCAATCTGTTTTCTTAAGCACATGGAATATGTTTAGATATAAAGACTTGGGATGCATATATCTGGTTCTATCCAATGATATTTTTTTAATTTTTATATAAATTGAGATAATCATAAAATGTCACCAAACACGGTGAGCTTGAGATGGGTCACCTCTTATTATGTTTGCTGCAGAGCGAGTCATCATTTCCACAGATTTGATTATAGTTTATTGTATCATCTTTAAAAATGGAACGCAGATGGTACAACAACAGATCGAGTTGACTGGGATTGATTGTTACTGAAACATAAAAAAAGTGTTGTTAGCAGACCAACGTATGTAAGACTGTTTCACAATTTCTCATGTGGTTTTCATCCTTTAATGTGTTTCACCTGGGAAGCATTATCTAGTGTTCCACATTGACTTACATTTAAATGGTCAAAACACAATTTATTATTAAGAAAATGCAGTTTCTAGAACTTCACTCATCATGTCAACCAACTAGTTCACCACCAATTAACAGTACAATGCTCAGGTGACACTTAAAAACACTGGTTTCTCAAAACAAAGAAAACTTTTAAATTTGACTCCTTATCACTCTTTTCATAGAGCAGCTGAATCAATGGAGAACCAAGAGTTTGCCTCTGAGCCAGCGTCTGTAAACAACAGCCAGTGTTTCATTTCAGGGGGAGAGTGGACATACAGCTCAGCCCTCTGGGAGGCATTCTTTCTCTGCTGCTGTAACCGGAGACAAAACGGCTAGGACAGCTTTGTTTACTTGCAGAAGAAAGGCCCCTTCAGTATCATGTAGGAAAAGATGTGCAGTGAGAGTGTAGTGACTGACTCTCCAGAGCCAGAGCAGAGACCCCCATTAGAGATATGTATGGATGAGAGCCGGAGGGTCAGCCATTCAAGCGTACTCAGCAGCGAAGCCACTGACACGCTTACTGCTAAAATCCTGCTGGGTAAGAGGCATATAATTTAAGAAGAGCAGGACTGATAGGACTGACTGCTTTCTCCAAGACTAATTACAAGATTTAGAGCCGCAGGGTACAGTGAGTCAGTTATGCTCTTTCACAAAGTAGAAAGACTTGAAAAAGTTGCCCTCAAACTATTATCTACAGCAGTTAATGAAGTTTTCTGACATCTAGTTATCAATATGTCCACGACTCAAAAAGTTGATCAGGTCTTTCTTTAGACTCTCTCTGTCCAGGGCAACACTCACAGCTTCCAGATACACACATGCAAACATTCCCCCAGGTCATACAGTACACAAAGATGATGCAGGTTGATATATTTACAGCTAAGGGACAAACCTGCCAAGTGTTATGACAGTTATGCCTAGTAACTGCTATAACAGATCAGTCTGAGCCAGAAAAGGCTGAGCACAGAAAAGAATGGTGATAGCCAGATGAACTGGTTTCAGCTGCTGCCCTGAAGTCACATGACAAGTCTTTTCCCTAGGAGAGCCCCAGAAGAGGCTGGAGTCTGACAAGCAGGGGGCCAAGCATTACAGCAGCAACAATTACAGACGTAATGGCAAACATCATGCTCTGTTTCCCCACTCCAACCCCAGGCCGACCGCCCCATTCCATCCAGTTAGCGAGGAGCCCTTCAAAGCAGGCAGGCCAGAGGAAAATTCCAACTTCATAGCAACACTAAAGCCCAGTGATGACACCGCAGAGCCAATCAGCCTCAGACATTTGATACGACTGCTGTGCCTGTCAATGTTCCTTAAATACACATGCATCAGGAGGCGTGACCGCAGCTGTGCAGGATTTTTACGATGCTCTCATCTCCGCTCAGTTCAACCCTTTTCCTGCAAGAAAAAGCCCCATCAACACACACAGTTGGTAGAGCGGGAAATTTCAACAGCCTAGTCCTTCCTTTTTCATGTGTTAAGGAGTACAAATGTTAAATCAGTGGAAAACAGTGCGTGGCAGTTAGAAAATGATAATACATTACTATTAAATTAGAATCTCAGATGAGAAGCGGTCAGATGTAAACTTCCCTAAAGCCAATGCAGAAGCTTAGCACCATCTCAGAGGCTGCATTAAGGGCACTCAGTAGGCGTTCACTGGTCTTACTAAACACATTTATCCACTATTGGATATATTTGCATATAAATAAATTAAACAGTCAAAGCATCTCCCTTTAATAGACTGAGGGGTACCTACGTGCTGTGTGTTTACACCGCTTGGATCACTTCTCACTGCAATAGAACAACACACACTTAACTCTGCTGTTCCAGGATTCAAACCGGTGTCATTAAAATGACTGGGCCAAAGTTGTTTTGACTTTATTCCTGAGGCCACACTAGCTGACGTCATCAGAGTCCCTCTTTACTGTTTTCTAGTGTTAACAAAGGCCCGTTTGTCCATTGAAAGACAACTACCACGGAGATAATGTTTGCACGACTCATCACACAAACAGAACACAACGCTGGGAGCCACTGTGTAAACCTCCTGAAGGAGTTTTAGGATGGCTGTCCACAGGGTAAACAGGAGAGCAGACGCTGACCTCTGTTTGGACAGAGGAACTTAAATCTATAAACGTTGATGGAAAACAAATGACTATTGTTTCATGTCCCTAAGTGCTAGTTAGAGAAAAATATATTTAAGGTAATTATTTAAAAGGACTAATTCAATTTTATAATGTCACATGGTTGACTGCAATAACAATTATTGTAAATAATTCACATACAACTGAATTTTTTTTGTTTAATAAAAGTGTAGTTGTCACACTTAGAGTTTGTTGTCATATTATGTTTGATTAACATTTAATTAGTGTTTTAAGGCTTTTCTTTACAATTGCTATGACCTTGAAGATACATGTTCAGATTACTGGGGAAAATATGATATAGGAACTGATTTTTTTTTTTTTACTTTTTTTTTTTTTTTATCAAACTCATCAATGTTTTTACACAGGATTATAGTAACTGACACTTTAAGATCAGTTCTAAGTCTGCTCTGGTTCTTCAGTCCCAGCCTTGGTTGTTGAAATGATGTTAGGGTTTTAAATGTACTCCAAAGTCAATATTCAACTACAGCGTGACTAGAACTTTCCATCTTCATTTAATCCCAACATCTGCCTAACACATCTAGACTTTAGAAAAAACAAACATCAAATTACATTTTAGAATTATTACATATTTATTAATTAACCATGAAGTAGGACTTTGTTAGTTGAACCATGAATAGTCAACAATTCAAAATCCCAAAAGAAACATTAGATAATTTCAAGATGATAACTAACTTAACTGTAGATTATTGAATACACGTTATAAGAAGAAAAACTGGAACATTCCATAGGCACATGGAGAAATAATTTACCCTCTATCACTTAGAGTACTGTACGTTTTTACTTTTCCTTAATCCCTACTGTAACTGGATCTGTATAATTGTTTTTGACCCTGCGCCATGTCCACGTTTCCTTTAGTGGAAAATTATTAACTGCTCATTTTAAACAGGTTTTCTTACCTTGGATCCATAATCGCTGGACTGTGTTCAGTCTTTATAAAAGCATTTAAAAAAAGAGAAAAAAGTCCGAAGTACAATGTGGCGCTAACCTTCAGTCTGCGTTTGGCTCAGCGCTCACCTGTAACAATGACGGTGAAAGTTCACCTGTGTAAACCGCTGAGTTGTCTCTAAACACACACACACGCTGTAAGAGAATAACGTTAGGAGTGACAGGAGGTGCGGAGTGGAATGACTCCTCCGTACACACTATGACTTCAGCCCACACTGCTGTTCGTGCTGTACTACCAGCCTTGTGCTGCCTTCACGTTCTTCAGGAAATATCAACACCGGGCACTGACGAAGCCTGTTTTCTATCATCACAAATCTATAAGGAAGACGGACAACATATTTCTCCTGACGACCTTTATGGCTTTGGTCAAATAAGCTACTGGTCACAGACGGAATTGCAGACTACACATGTGACAGAACGTACACAAACTGTCCACTAAATTAGACACTCCAGTTTAAATGCTCATAATGAATATTCATGGACAAGAATGCAAGGGCAACACCAGTTAGTCAAAAGCATATAGATGTCTATGACAGACTGTCTGGTCACACTGATCATCAAAACATCATGGTATAGGACAACTGCTCTTGTGTTTACACCTTATGAAGCTTGAAGCAGAGGAGATAATGAACACACCTGCTATTTAAATTCTGTTTTTGGAAACCAGAACTGTACTGAAGTAGTACTTGTGTAATACCTGTGTTTCATCTATTCGGATAACATCAGTATACATTCCAATACAACATGAAGCTGATTTTAAACACCATATACACAGTTAAATAAAAGTAGACAAAAGTAACAAAAAAAAAATAAATCCAGCTATAATACTAGAAGAGAATAAGACACCGGAGTAAAGCAGCCAAATGCCAAAGTGTCCTGCAGAGACAGACACTTTCTCCTAACAGACAGCATATGACATGTTGAATAGCTGATCATTGAATTAGTCAGCTCTCCTCTCTGGAGGCCAACCTGACAGAATTACCTGAATAATAGTTTTACTGGCCCTGTCCCAGTGCACACTTGTTGAGCCAGAAAGAAAGACACAGTAATTTGATGCTGATTCAAAATCACAAGACTTTCATCAGCCGCTTCGATAGCATGTGATTTGCCTTTAAAAATTGCACAAGAACCTCTCCTTGGACTGTAGAACATTCGTAATGTTTACTACGTGAGTACAGCGTGACCATACTCTTGCTGTGTATTTGCACTTTTCATCACATTATATTCTTCTAATCCCCTACATTTCAGAGGGAAATGTGACTTTTGGACCCTCAAAGGCAAAGGCAAAGGTTGCTCTTTGTTGGAATGTAAATTCCAAAGTTTATCTGTACTTCTTGGATGATGTTTTTAGGAGCAAAACTATCACCACGTATCCACAGGAGCTACACTCCAAAGCTGCTTCTTTCCTCTCACTTTCCAAAAACTGTGCAAGGTGGTGTAAATTCTGTCACATCCGCATGAAACTGCTAGTGCATAACTAGAAAATGTAATTTAAATGTGTCAGCAGAAGCACACAGTACTGCCACACATAATCATAAATGACAAACAATTTCTTTGCTAATGTTCCTTTTGCGTAAACGCTGCTCAAGTTTAAACAGTATCACTTTTTAATATTAGTGGTGGGAATCGTTACATTTTTCTGTCCAATTTATTATGTTTCACCTCAGTATCTACACAAAAACCCACACCGGTGAAACCCAGTCAGCTGAGTCTGACTCACATTTGTTCTGTGAAATGTTTCTGAGTAAATGTGCCAATATTTGCCAGTACAGTCAGGCAATTGTGATGCTCCTGCCTTGGTGTCAGATAACCTGAGAGCATTAGAAGTGAGAGGCGATCCTACTGCTTTGAATGAATTTAATGATAAGTGTCAATTTCCTGGAACATTGTTGCTGGCTTTAATTCAGCATTTACATTAACATGTCAACTAGTTTAGTTAAAAAACAGATCAATTATTAAAGTGATTCATCACAATCACACACAAATTAGCTTAAAATTGACCAGTAAACAGGTTTGTGGTGGTTGCCAGCAGGTTGATAAAAACAAGCTCCATCAACAGTGAGATCCACAGATGGACAACAACAGTCTTTTATTGAGGCTTCAGAGCAGCATGTTCCACTGGGGACACTGCATAGTTTCTCAGCACCAGGAAATGACTAGAGATCCTCAGAAACAACAGGACAAATCTCACTCTGTCTCACACATTCTCTCCCCACTTCCTTTGCGCTTAGCTTCACATATGCAGCTGTCTTGGCTCATATGTGCTCACAGCTGCCCAAATCTCTGGACTCCAGACATTATGATGGCTGAGGAGGTGAAGGGGGAGGAGGGTGGGGAGGGCGGGGGTTGACATCTGGATCAGTGACTGTTTAGTTAACACAGCTCTCTGAAGAGGGGAAGGTGACATTTTTATTTAAGTCTCAGCAGTCCATAATGTTCCTAACAATATTGACAAAAGCATAGTATTTTCACACCGTAGACTCACCTCCTCAGACAAAAAGAAGAACGAACTGTAGATGGATACACTGTGGTCGCTTTTAAACGGTAACGCAGCAGCATATTAACAATTTCCATGGTTTTTGGGAAGCAGCAAAGGTTAGTGGTGAGATCTGTGCAGAGCAAGAATATATTTTCCAGGACTGTGTGGCTCCCTGCTGGAATGTGCTCTTTTAGTCACCAAGGAGAAGGAGACAGAGATTCTTACTGTTGCAGGACAAAGCGCAGAGCTCAATAGCTGGGTTTACAGGCCCCCCTTATTGTAAAAGGATTAAATAAATCACGGCCGGTCGAGACCCAGCACCACGGCACCCCTGTCGCGCCCTTTGGTCTTCAACCAAACAGAGCCACACAAACACAGCTGGCCTTCGTCCAGGCACAGGGTACATTCAGCAGCTTTGAGAAATGCTCCAGTGACCTGGCTCACCCTTGAAGTCATTTACATACACCTTGAAGGGGCCAGAGCCCATAAAAAATTCAAAACAGGTGGTTGGAGGGACAAGGAAAACTATTCCTCCTCTCAACACTTCAGCTTTAACTTTTGCATGGTATTGACGCTAAATGCTAATTCTTTTAAAAAGTATTTTTGTAAGGCCACCAATTGGACTGGATGACAATTATTACAGTTAAAGAAGACAGACATTAAGTCTGCAGCAAATGATAGCAGATGCAACAACAGTGGAAAAGTTGTGATTGAATTTTGTTTCTCAACAAACACACTCCATATGTACAGTATGCATCACACACCTACACACACACACACACACACCATTAAGTCCTTCTCAGATACGTACAACAGAATCAGAAGTATTAGAAAGACTGTCGTCTTCAATTCATACAAAAGAACCTTTTACGTAGTCATAAATAACAACAGACAGTAGTAATATTAGAGGCACACACTGCAAACTCATTGATTAGAGTTTAATTATTATTATTTTTGTTAGGGGCGGATGGTAAAACACACACAGGTCGGGTTTTTGTCTACCTGAACTTATGCTGTAGTGGTTTAAGGGGTCGGCCACCCATGTACTGTCCTCTATTACACTCTCCATCTCCAAGTCTGCATGCAGCCAGGAGGACAGATGGACCGACAGACAGATGAATGAATGGATGACATGGGGAGACGAGAGAACCGGCAGAGGGAGAGAGCATGTCAAGTTAGCAAAACACAGAAAACTGTAGCACTGTGAGATAACAAGCTTCGCATAGAAAACCATACTGTATTGCAAAAGTGAAAAACTTCTCTGTGAGAAAGAGTACAGATTAAAAAAAAAAAAGAAATAGTCAGCCGAGCCACATATAATCCATGCTATTTGTCAGTGTAAGAAATCGTTTTTAAAAGAAAAACCTTTTAGGTTCAAACCCTTAGAATTTTTAACCCCCTTTAAAACCTGCTCTGGTCAACATATTTCTTCAACAGAACTTATTCAGCACATTTACATTCGGCAATTACTGCTCCACAAAGTCGTTTTCATTACAAGTGGCCCATTGAACTGTCACTTTGAGGATAATGTGTTAGGTAACAATTCTCTTCACTTTTATTTGCGTCAGTCTAGGTGGCTGTTGTTTTTGGGGGGGAGATATGTAAAACCTAAATGTTAATGCCAAAAACACTACATCTAGAACACATTAGAAGCAATCAAATGACAAAACATAGTGGCGGAGCAGTCAGAACGAAGGCTGCGAGTGCTTTTATTAATACATTTAAACATTAATAAACAAGATTACTCTATTCTCCCTGGTTCTAAGTGTTATAGTGAGGTGTAAAGAGCAGCCCATTTAGCTGAAGTGCTAGGGCGTTAACATTAAGACTAATATATACTCTTTTTTTCCTTGCAATTGACTGCACAGAGAATGTTTTCTGTCTTTTGAATAGTAGACATGGACTCAATCACTGAAATGCATCAAAACTTGAAATACAGCCATCGAAGTAGTGTAAATGTCAGGTGTGTTTGTGTGAGACTGACTGAGTGAGTGAGTGACAGTGGGGTGAGTGGACATGATGGATGGAGAGTGTATACCAGCACGCACAGGGGGGGAAGAGACTCCAAGAAGCAGGTTGCAGGCCAGAGGAGGGGGTGGCTGAGGCAGAGGAGTCACAGTCAAATGCAACATATCAAGACACATGCTTCAACAACAGTGTACATCTCTGAGCAGTGAAATAGTAACATGGTTAAAAATGCATTCATGCAGTGGAGGAGGAGGAGATACAACCACAGGCAGCATCATTACATACAGTTGTTTGTGAAGCCTCTATTCACCAGTTTAAACACGCTGACCATTTATAGTGAAACCATCAGAAAGCAAAGCAAACATTATTTCAATTTTTTTTAGACTTTCAGGGATGACTACCTAAAGCCTAAATTATAGATTACATGAGGAGAGAATCTAATTTTATTCTTATTTCCTAATTTCTTTTTTTGTTTTAGGTCAAACTTCTATATTATACAACACAGTTGGTTTGCACCGTGCGGTGCAAACAGGTCAGTTTTTTAAATTAAAGAAATGTAAATACTGCTTATGTAGTAAAACAATATACGCTCTAATAAAAGCATAATTTTCAGAAATATGTGATAAACCTTTGTCCCAGAGCTAATATAATGTTTTGCTATATTTGTTTAAACTCATTAATATATTAATATGTAGCTTCAAAAGTAATAATTTTAAGGTTAGATGTGCAACAGTTAAAATGAAATAAAAACATGGATTAAAAAAGTCAGTTACGTCAGTAGGAAGCACATCAGAACTTTGACCAGGGATTCTGTTGTATTAATAGCAACAGTTGACTTCACATAATCTGTTTCTGATCAGTGAAACAGTCTGAGAGCCTTACATGTTCTTTACGATTAAAACGGCAGAGAATATGGGCTTTTAGCAGCCACCCAAAAACCCATCAGGTATAAAGAGAAGTCCCTCCCCAATAATTGAAGACCTTCTAAAGTCTGTTTGTGACTTTTTTCACTGTGTCATCTTTTCATCCCACTGGTTTGGAAGTCCGCCTCGATTGTCCACCCCACAGCAAGTCAATCAGTTGTAACAGTGAGTCATGCTGCTTCAGCCACTCTGGTTTTGGCCGATGTGACAAGGATTCGCACTGAAGTTTGATCAAAAAGAGCTCAACCATACGATGAAGTGAAACAACGTTGTGGGAGAACTACTGTAACGTGAGGCTGAAGTCTACAGCAGAGCTACAAAAAGAACGACTTTGACTCCAGGATCACTAAAAAATATATCTTCAATACTTGGCAGAACATTAAATAACATATCTATTTGCTCTGCGTGTTATTGGATGGCATGAATTAATTCCAGTGGGTTTGCACATAGCTGTGTCAACAAAGCATTGTGCTGTAGGAGGGCTGTGTCAGTGACTGATGTGGGAAAACACGCTTGTTATTTGTGGTGAACGTTCCGCACTAGAATAAACCACGTTATAAACGTTGACACCTGAAATGCAGCCAGATCAGAAACACATTGACTTTCATCAGATAAAACATCTAACCAACGCACGTCCTGTGAACAGTTACAGGCAAAGAAAAAAAAAAGGAAGAAAAAGAGGAAGTGTACCTGGTTTTGGCACAGAGTTGGTCATGGACTGTGGCACCTTATCATTTATGAGCTCCACACACTCACTGGGAAAGAAGCCAACCTGGACAGAGCAGGGCAGAGAAGCAGGCAGGTGAGGTCACAGCAAGTATAATCAGATTTAGATAACCAAATGAGGCCAGAGGAAATGGACAGCACACATCTGTCACACACTGATGCCCACAGCCTGCTGCTGAGGTCACATCACTTACTCTTACTATTTATCTTCTCCTTTTAGGAAGGCTCTGGAACTGTGTGTGTCTTTGAACCTAACATCTGCTCAGTAAAATTTGGAGGTAAATTGTCTATTGCAAACAACAAATTTGCATAGCAGTCCACCCCAGTGATAAGGAACAAACCAGTGGACCAGGGAGTACTATACTAAGAACCATGCTATAATTCTAGCTGAATGGCTAACGGCTGTTATATAACTTAAAGCAATGTATTACACATGGTATTTTCAATAACACTGATGGTCAAACTGAACTAGTTTTATAGAAAGGCTACCCTTTCACCAAATTCTGTGTCAAATTCAGTGTCATCATTTTCAAATGTCTCACGATTCGTTCCTCGATACAGGAAAAAAAAAGTTTTATGACAAAAAGGACCCAGAACTTTTTAAACATCTTAAATTTCTGAGCCCTGAAATACTAGGCTGGTGTGGGTGAAAGATGTATCCGGGACAGTTTATGTGCACATAAAAAAACTGACATGTACGGATGTAGCTTACAGCCCCCTACGGGGAACAGCATGTCTGAAATCTTGTAAAATACTACTACTACTACAAAATACTAGGTTAGATAAATATGACTCCAGGAACAGTATCGTGTACACACAGCACGCTGCAGAGTAAAAATACTGGGAACATGAAAACAAAAACAGAAGTTTCAGGATTTGGCAACAAAAATGGCCTTTGGTGAATATATATGTCATGAAAACATCTGGAGTGTGTATCAGGTCAGAAGACTTTGACAGTAGCCATCTTTCAACCACCTCTCGGAGAAACAAGTTTCACAACAGTAGGAATCACCACAATTGTTCATTGTTGGTCGTTTGGAACAACCTGAAGTCCTTTGTTATCCATAGCAGTGCGGTCAGCTGGAGCTAACTCCAGTTCTGACTGAGAACTTCACTGCCAATTAGTGTGACAGGCAGATCGATGTCCTATAGTAACAGAGAGTCAAAACAGAAGCTGCAGCGGAGCCAAGGCAGAAGGTTGGGCTGTTTATTTATCATTCTGAGATGCGTTGGGATGTAGAGGATACAGCATCGACCCAGAGGAAGCACAAGAATCAATATTCATTTGTCTTGGTAGGACGATAGTTTTAAAATTAATATTTTAGTTTGTAGGGTTGGCCTTTCATATTTATTGGACTTTTAATATAATCTTAAGACATTTATGGGCCTAATATTTCTATATAACACTGTTATACAGCTGTTCAGTTCTGATTTACATATTTCTAGTATGTTATTAATAAGCAGGCTGCTTCTAGAGAGGCAAGAGGCTTATTTTTTATGGAAAACTTGAATAGTTTTTTTTTTACAGAAAAGATAAATAGACCATAGGTAAATATGTATTTTTGTTTTAGCTTTAATAAGAAAAATGAAATATGCAATGTTGTCTTTATTATTAGGATAATTAATGTAATCGTGAAAATTCTTAAGCCACATTTAATCAAAATAGAGCAGAAGTAGACGTAAAATGTGTCTTGTAGCTCAACCTACATGTCAAATAAATAATACTCTTGTCATACTATTTTACTCAAAGATATAAAACTCTGTAAACTGAGAAAAAATGATATTCAAGTATGTTCCAAAATTAGCAGTCAAAATAAGAGTAGGTATAAAACAACATCCACTAAGAGCTTTGTCTGAGTAATGGCTCACCTCTGGAACTGAACAGTGGAATAATAATAATAATAATAACTGCTGCCCTGGCTGCAGTCTTGATCTACTCAGAGTGGAATACGTGCGTTGTCCTGAATAAATAACAGAATAAACAGACAGTGACTAATTTTCCACTTTATTTTAGTAAAAATTGGGAAAAAAAACAGAAAAAAAGAGAAAAAGAATTTGACTCATTGGTAGTTTGCAGGTCAAAACATTTATATTTTTGGAAAGTATGAATTTATGAATTAGCCCATATTAGACATTTAAGTTGGTCAGTGTTCTTTGATCTAATAAAAAATGGATGATGTGCAAAATTCAACTGTAGAGGCAGGCCTTGTCCAGAGGAACTGTGTGATATATTTCCACTAAGCTGACAGCACAAATAAACACAAATGCATTATTCTCCTGATTCACTGAGGGAGAGGCTCATTATGAAGTCAGCGCCT